ACTGCATAATGAGGAGCTTCGTAACTTGTACTCTTCTTCAAGTATAATTAGAATGATCAAATCAAGGAGGATGAGGTGGGCAGGGCATGTAGCACGAATGGGGGGAGAAGAATGCATGCAAGATATTGGTGGAAACGCCAGAAGGAAAGACACCACAAGGAAGACCAAGGCATAGGCGAGTTGACAATATTAGAATGGATCTTAGAGAGAGAGGATGGGATGGTATTGATTGGATAGATCTGGCTCAGGATAGGGACCAGTGGAGGGCTCTTGTGAACATGCTAATGAACCTTCGGGTTCCATAAAATGCTGGGAAATTCTTGAGTAGCTGCAGAATTGGCAGCTCCTCCAGAAGGGCTCAGCTCCATGAGTAAGCAAGTAAGTAATATTGCACTAAATACTTGTAGACAATCAATGTGCATAGTGAAATCAGTTCAGATTTAATTATTGTCTTTATATCTTTGTGTCTTGAGCGTACAGATTTCAGGAATATGCTGTGTGGAATGTTGAGAATTTTTCCAACATTTTGGAAACATTGCAATTGTCATTTTCAGAGCTGATGACTTGGGAGGGGTTTAGCAGCACTTACAGATCTTGCAGTGGGTGATGATTGGGATATGAAACCATTACAGGGTAAAACATGAGACAGGTGGTGTCCAACAGGGAGCAACCATATGGCTACTGAAAAAAATGTGAAAAATGTGTCAGTGGTAATGTGCTTAATGAAAAGACAAGATGAAGAATTTTTTGGTGACCAGATGGCCTTGATAAGGGGTCTGGAAATGCTGTAGTGAGTGTGTTTAGTACAAGAGGTGATTGGGAGAGTTTCAGCAATCACATGGTTTAAGAAGAGGTGGTGAGAATGGTTTTAGTGACCACATGACTTTGAAAGGAAATAAACCGATTTTTAATGATGATGCTAATGGGAAAAGTTATTTTTTTTACATGTTCATGGAAAAAGGAATAAAAAAGTTCATGGTGCCTACTATGAAAGTCTGTACAGGTTAAGTTCAGTAGTTTAATGATGGTTTAATAGTTGGTTTGGAGGGAAAGGGGTGAAGCCAGATTTTACATAGTATACATCTTCACAATTGAAGTTATGAGGGTGTTTTACCATTTCAGTAGCTTCCCAATGATGTGGGTAGGGTAAGTCTGAATTTTGGCTATCACCTCTGCCCTGTTGAAGTTGATGCTATGTTCTTTTCCTGTTGGGTGTTTGGCTGCTGCATACCGTTGGTGATCCAGTCAGGTGTGTCTGATATGTTTGAACATTCATTTTTTTATTAATCCTGTAGATCATGATACAATGATATAGGACAAGTCTTTCAGCTAATATACATTATTAAATTAGAACAATCTTAATACTAAAAAATTACATAAGACATACAACATTTTATACATTATATACTGTATACTTCTGCTTATATCAGTAGCAAATATTCGAGAATTCATTGTTCAAGTAGTCGTCCGTTGAGTAATAGCACCTCTGAATAAGGAACTTCTTCAATTCCCTTGTGAACTGATTTTTATTTTCTATTTCTTTTATGTTGTTAGGCAATTTGTTGTAAAAGATACAGCCAGCTACTGAAGGATTACTATTATAAAGTTCAAAGTTGTGCCCATATATATGATAGTCTTTATTATTTCTTGTGTTATGTGTATGTATTTGTTCATTCACTGTGCAATTACACTTTTTTTTACATATAGGATTGTTTCTTGTATATATAGCGAGTATACTGTTAGTATCTTTAGATTTCTAAAGCTATCCCTGCACGATTCCAGATGTTTTAGCCCTGCAATGTATCTTACTGCCCTTTTTTGGAGTACAAAAATTCTTCTAGTGAGGGTCTTAGCACTATGTCCCCATACTATTATTCCATAAGATAGATGAGGATAGATCAAACAGTAATACAACATTCTTCTTTCATTTAAATTGAGTATTTTAGATAGCCTGTTAATTATGAACGGGTTACAGCTAATTCTACTGCAGGTTTTTTCAATATGTAATTCCCAGCTGAAGGTACTATCTATTACTACCCCCAGGAAATTTGTACTTTTTACATTTGATATTCCCATGTTCTTTATTAGGATTTTTAGATTACTTTCCTGCCTGCATTGTTTTGTCTGGAAGAGAATATAGTGAGTTATAGATGGATTTATAAATAAATTATTTGTCTCAAAGTATTGCTCTACCACTCCTATATTAATTGAAGTCGTGTTTTGGAGCTCATCCAGAGATATATGCGGCAGTCCATTTACTAATGATATAGTGGTGGTTGAGATGGCGTAAAAGGAGAAGACAGGAGAAAAGGAAACATTGGGTGCATCACTTCTTTCCCGAAATTTAGAGAGAACTTAATCAGGATCCTGAACTGTTGAAATCATTTTACAGAATGAGCATTGAAAGTTTTTCTTTATTAGTTAATCTTCTTGGACCTCAAATTCGAAGACAAGATACAAATTTTGGTACAGCTATGTCAGCAGAAGAAAAATTACTAATTACTCTGAGGTAGGGAAAGTTTGTCTTTTTACTGATATACAAATTCTGCAGATGTCTAAACAAATACAATACCACTGCTAGAAAATTTTTGTTTACATCATCTTTTTGTTGGTGTGCCCCCAGCCTTGATGATCTTCGTATATGACGTGCAGTTCTACAAAGCAATTTTTATTTATTTATTTATAGATTTCTTGTTCCATCACATCCATTTGAGGCTGAAGCCTAGATACAGAATTGTGTCAAATTATCTTGCTAATACAATCAAGCAATTGTCTAATAAAATCTATGTATAATTTATAACAAAAATTGTTTACACCATAGTAAAGTTATTCTCTAATATTTAAACATTAAAACTTCAATAAAATTCAAGATGAGATTTTTTACATAAAATAACAAATATTGATCATACAGTTCTTTGATATAAAATGAATTCATCATATACATTCTACTAAAATTATTATACTTGTATAATGTATAATAATACAATAATTACAATAGTGTAAGCAGCTCAGACTCTGTAGGATTGAATGGTATGATAAT